AAACATAAAATAAGTGATCAATAAGTTGGTGTTGTAGAGGCTTTCCTGGCAAAATCTCAAAACACCAATGCTGAAAGTAAAATGACAAAAGTTTTAGGGAAGAAAAAAAGCTTGAAAGCTTGCTAGATATAGAAAAATCTCAGACTTTATCCCAGATTTTCTGAATCAAAATCTGTATTTTTGCAAGATTCCCAGGTGATTTGGGATGTAGACGTCCTTTCATTTATTCCTCTCTTCACCATCAATTTCTCTTAATCACATTATTATGTAATAAGTGTTCTATTCTTTTACATAATCCTATTGAAGACTCCAAATATTATTATTTTGTACATGTTGTTAATATAGAACTAAGTAATATGGTTTGGTCTGAGATGAAGGAAATGTGTACTTTACATCAGAGTTTCTCAAACTTGACACTATTAACATTTTGGGCCCCACTGTTCTTTGCTATGGAGGGCTGTCTTGAGCGCTGCAGGATGTTTAGCATCATTCTAGACCTCTACTCACTAGATGTCAGTAGCAATCTCCACTCCAGTTGTAAAAGCCAAAGGTGTTCTCAGACATTATCAAATTTTCCCAGGAGACAACATAGTCCCTGATTGAGATACAATGCTCTACATTAAAAATTTGCCATTTGATAAGGAATCTTCCAAGCAGTGTTTCTAAATTTCTTTCTATATCTTTCTTTACTCTTCAGTTTATAACCAGCTGCCACTGTTTACTGTATGTTATGTTATTTTATAACAGGCATATGTCCAAGATATTTTGGGTTCATTTCCAGACCACTGCAATAAAGCAAATATTGCAATAAAGCCATCATATGAATTTTTTGTTTCCCAGTGAATATAAAAGTTGTGTTTATACTCTCCTATTAGTCTGTTAAGTGTGCAATAGCATTATGTCTAAAAACAGTGGGCATGTCTTAATTTTAAAATATTCTATTGCTGGTAGCTGGCAAGTTGGCCAAATAGGAACAACTCCAGTCTGTAGGTCCCAGCAAGATCAACACAGAAGGTGGGTGATATCTCCATTTCCAACTGAGGTACCTGACTTATCTGATTGGAACTGGTTAGACAGTGAATGCAGCCCATGGAGGGAAAGCCACAGCATGGTGGGGAGCCACCTCACTCAGGAAGTGTGAGGGGTTGGGGAACTATGTCCCCTAGCCAATGGAAGCTCTGAGGGACTGTGCCATGAGCAATGGTGCATTACAGTCCAGATACTATGCTTTTCCCATGGTCTTCGCAACCCACAGACCAGGAGATTCCTTTGGTTGGTTATGATACCAGGGCCCAGGGTTTCAAGCACAAAACTGGGCAGCAATTTGGGCAGACACCGAGCTAGCTGCAGGAGTTTTTTTCATACCCTACTGCTGCCTGAAGGCTGGTGAGACAGAACTGTACACTCCCCTGGAAAGGGGGCTAAAGCCAGGAAGCCAAGTGGTCTTACTCAGTGGATCCCGCCTCCAGGGAGCCCAGCAAGCTAAGATCTACTGGCATGTAATTCTCACTGAAAGCACAGTAATCTGAAGTAGATGTGGGATGCTTGAGCTTGGTAAGGGGAGGGGCATCTGCCATTACTGGGACTTGAGTAGGCGGTTTCCCCTCGCAGCGTAAACAAAGCCACCTGAATTTCAGACTCCATGAAGCCGACCACAGCTCAGCAAAGCCACTGTAGCCAGACTGCCTCTCCAGATTCTTCTTCTCTGGGCAGGACATCTCTGAAAGAAAGGCAGCAGCCCCCCTCAGGGGCTTATAAATAAAACTCTCATCTCCCTGGGACAAAGCACCTGGAGGAAGGGGTGGCTGTGGACACAGCTTCAGCAGACTTAAATGTCACTGCCTGCTGGCTCTGAAGAGTGCAGTGGATCTTCCAGCATAGCACTCAAGCTCTGCTAAGGGACAGACTGCCTCCTCAAGTAGGTTCCTGACCCCCTGTGCCTCCTGACTGGGAGATACCTCCTAGCAGAAGTTGACAGACAACTCACAGAGAAAGAGAGCTCTGGCTGGCATCTGGTGGGTGCCCCTCTGGGACAAAGCTTCCAGAGGGAGGAACAAGCAGCAATCTTTGCTGTTCTGCATCCTCCCCCGGTGATACCCAGGTAAACAGGGTCTGGACTAGATCTCCAGCAAACTCCAGCAGACCTACAGCAGAAGGGCCTGAGTGTTAGAAGGAAAACTAACAAACAGAAAGGAATACCATCAACATCAACAAAAAGGACATCTACAAAGAAACCCCATCTGAAGGTCACCAACATCAAAGACAAAAAAAAAAAAAAAAAAACTAGCACAAAAATACTGAAAATTCCAAAAACCAGAATGCCTCTTCTCCTCCAGAGGATTACAGCCCCTTGCCAGCAAGTGAACAAAACTGGACAGAGAATGAGTTTGATAAGTTGACAGAAGCAGACTTCAGAAGGTAGGTAATAACAAACTCCTCCAAGCTAGAGGAGCATGTTCGAACCCAATGCAAAGAAGCTAAGTAGCTTGAAAAAAAGGTTAGAGGAATTGCTAACTAGAATAACGAGTTAAGAACATAAATGACCTGATGAAGCTGAAAAACACAGCACGAGAACATCATGAAGCATATGCAAGTATCAATAGCCAAATCTATCAAGCAGAAGAAAAGATATCAGAGATTGAAGATCAACTTAGTGAAATAAAGCATGAAGACAAGATTAGAGAAAAAAGAATGAAAAGGAATAAACAAACCCTGTAAGAAATATGGGTTTTTGTGAAAAGACCAAATCTATATTTGATCGGTATACCTGAAAGTGTTGGGGAGAATGAAACCAAGTTGGAAAACACTCTTCAGGATATTATGCAGGAGAACTTCCACAACCTAGCAAGACAGGCCAACATTCAAATTCAAGATATACAGAGAACACCACAAGGATACTTCTCAAGAAGAGCAACCCCAGGACACATAATCGTCAGATTCACCAAGGTTGAAATGAAGGAAAAAATGTTAAGGGCAGCCAGAAAGAAAGATTGGGTTACCCACGGAGGGAAGCCCATCAGACTCATAGCAGATCTCTTGGCAGAAACCCTACAAGCCAGAAGAGAGGGCCAATATTCAACATTCTTAATGAAAAGAATTTTCAACCTAGAATTTCATATCCAGTCAAACTAATCTTCATAAGTGAAGGAGAAATAAAATCCTTTACAGACAAGGAAATGCTGAGAGATTTTTTCACCACCAGACCTGCCTTACAAGAGCTCCTGAAGGAAGCACTAAACATGGAAAGGAAAACATACCAGCCACTGCAAAAACATACCAAATTGTAAAGACCATCCACATTATGAAAAAACTGCATCAATTAATGGGCAAAATAACCAGCTAGCATCATAATGACAGGATCAAATTCATACATAACAATATTAATCTTAAATGTAAGTGGGCTAAATGTCTCACTTAAAGACACAGACTGGCAACCTGAATAAAGAGTCAAGCTCTGATGGTGTACTGTATTCAGGAGACCCAGTTCACATGCAAAGACACATATAGACTCAAAATAAAGGGATGGATGAATATTTACCAAGCAAATGGAAAACAAACGAAAGCAGGGGTTGCAATCCTAGTCTCTGATAAAACAGACTTTAAACGAACAAAGATCAAAAGCAACAAAGAAGGGCATTACATAATGGTAAAGGGATCAATGCAACAAGAAGAGGGAACTATCCTAAATATATATGCACCCAATACAGGAGCACCCAAACTCATACAGCATGTTCTTAGAAAGCTACAAAGAGATTAGACTCCCACACAAAATAATAGGAGACTTTAACACCCCACTGTCAATATTAGACAGATCAATGAGACAGAAAATTAACAAGGATATTCAGCACTTGAACTCAGATCTGGACCAAGCAGACATAATAGACATCAAAAGAACTCTCCACCCCAAATCAACAGAATATGCATTCTTCTCAGTGCCACATTGCACTTACTCAAAAATTGACCACTGAAGTAAAACACTCCTCAGCAAATGCAAAAGAATGGAAATTATAACAAACAGTCTCTCAGACCGCAGTGCAATCAAATTAGAACTCAGGATTAAGAAACTCACTCAAAACTACACAACTCCATGGAAACTGAACAAACTGCTCCTGAGTGACTACTGGGTAAATAATGAAATTAAGGCAGAAATAATAAGATATTTGAAAACAATGAGAACAAAGAACACAATGCACCATAATCTCTGGGACACAGCTAAGGCATTCTTTAGAGGGAAATTTATAGCACTAAATGCCCACAGGAGAAAACAGGAAAGATCTAAAACCCACAACCTAACATCACAATTAAAAGAACTAGAGAAGCAATAACAAACAAATTCAAAAGCTAGCAGAAGACACGAAATAGCTAAGATCAGAGCAGAACTGAAGGAGACAGAGACATGAAAAACCCTTCAAAAAAGTAATGAATCCAGGAGCTGGTTTTTTGCAAAGATCAACAAAATAGATAGACCAGTAGCCAAATTATTAAAGAAGAAAAGAGAGCAATCAAATAGACACAATAAAAAATGGTGAAGGGGATATCACCACTGATCCCACAGAACTACAAACTACCATCAGAGAATACTATAAACACCTCTATGCAAAGAAACTAGAAAATCTAGAAGAAATGAATAAATTCCTGCAAACATACACCCTCCCAAGTCTAAGTCAGGAAGGAGTTGAGTCCCTGACTAGACCAATAACAAGTTCTAAAACTGAGGCAGTAATTAATAGCCTACAAACCAAAGAAAGCCCAGAACCACACAGATCCACAGCCGATTTATAACAGAGGTACAAAGAGGGCCTGGTACCATCCTTTCTGAAACTATTCCAAACAATAGAAAAAGAGGGAGTTCTCTCTAACTCATTTTATGAGGCCAACATCATCCTCATACCAAAACCTGGCAGAGAAAACAAAAAAACAAACAAAAAATTTCAGGCCAATATCCCTGATGAACATCAATGCAAAAATCCTCCACAAAATACTGGCAAATTGAATCCAGCAGCACATCAAAAAGCTCATCCACCACAATCAAGTCAGTTTCATCCCTGGGATGCAAGGCTGGTTCAACATATGCAAATCAATAAATGTAATCCATCACATAAACAGAGCCAATGACATGATTATCTTAATAGATGCAGAAAATACCTTCAATAAAATTTCACACCTTTTCATGCTAAAAACTCTCAATAAACTAAGTATTCATGGAACATATCTCAAAATAATAAGAGCTATTTAGGACACACCCACAGCCAATATCATACTGAAAAAGCACTAGCTGGAAGCATTCCCTTTGAAAACTGGCACAAGACAAGGATGCCCTCTCTCACCACTCCTATTTAACATAGTATTGGAAGTTTTGGCCTGTTCAATCAGGCAAGACAAAGAAATAAATGGTATTCAAATAGTAAGAGAGGAAGTCAAGTTGTCTCTGTTTGCAGATGACATGGTTGTATATTTAGAAAACCCCATCTTCTCAGCCCACAATCTCCTTAAGCTGATAAGCAACTTCAGCAAATTCTGAAAATCAACGTGCAAAACTCACAATTCCTATACACCAATAATAGACAGACAGTGAATTTATGAGTGAACCCCCATTCACAATTGCTACAAAGAGAATAAAATAGCTAGGAATACAACTTAAAAGGGATGTGAAGGACCTCTTCAAGGAGAACTACAAACCACTGCTGAAGGAAATAAGAGAGGACACAAACAAATGGAATAACATTTTATGCTGAAGAATAGGAAGAATCAATATCATGAAAATGGCCGTACTGCCCAAAATAATTTAATGGATTCAATGCTATCCCATCAAGCTACCACTGACTTTCTTCACAGAATTAGAAAAAACTTCTTTACGTTTCATATGGAACCAAAAAAGAGCCACTATAGCAAAGACAATCCTAAGCAAAAAGAACAAAGCCAGAGGCATCATGCTACCTGACTTCAAACTATACTACAAGGCGACAGTAACCAAAACAGCATGGTACTGGTACTAAAACAGATATATAGACCAATGGAACTGAACAGAGGCCTCAGAAATAATGCCACACATCTACAACCATCTGATCTTTGACAAACCTGACAAAAACAAGCAATGGAGAAAGGATTCTCTATTTAATAAATGGTGTTGGGAAAAATGGCTAGCCATATACAGAAAATTGAAACTGGACCCCTTCCTTACACCTTATAGAAAAATTAACTCAAGATGGATTAAAGACTTAAATGTAAGATCTGAAACCATAAAACACTCTAGAAAAAAAACCCAGGCAATACCATTCAGGACATAGGCATGGGCAAAAGCTTCATGACTAAAACACCAAAAGCAATGGCAACAAAAATCAAAATTGACAAATGGAATCTAATTAAACCTCAGAGCTTCTGCACAGCAAAAGAAACTATCATCAGAGTAAACAGGTAATCTATAGAATGGGAGAAAATTTTTGCAATCTATTCATCTGACAAAGGGCTAATATTCAGAATCTACAAGAACTTAAACAAATATAGAAGAAAAAAATCAAACAACCCCATCAAAAAGTGGGCAAAGGATATGACATCTATGCAGTCAACAAACAAATGATAAAAAGCTCATCATCGCTGGCCATTAGAGAAATGCAAATCAAAGACACAGTGAGACACAATTTACACCAGTTAGAATGGCCATCATTAAAAAGTCAGGAAACAACAGATGCTGGAGAAGATGTGGAGAAACAGGAATGTTTTTACACTGTTGGTGGGAGTGTAAATTAGTTCAACCATTGTGGAAGACAGTATGGTGATTCCTCAATGATCTAGAACCAGAAATACATTTTGACCCAGCAATCCCATCACTGGGTATATATCCAAAGGATTATAAATTGTTCTACTATAAAGACACATACACACATATGTTTATTGCAGCACTGTTCGCAATATCAAAGACTTAGAACCCAAATGCCTATCAATGATAGATTGGATAAAGCATACACACCATGGAATACTATGGAGCCATAAAAAAGGATGAGTTCATGTTCTTTGCAGGGATGTGGATGAAGCTGGAAACCATCATTCTCAGCAAACTAACACAAGAACAGAAAACCAAATACCACATGTTCTTATTCATAAGTGGGAGTTGAACAATGAGAACACATTTTCACAGGAAGAGGAACATCACACACCGGGGCCTGTCAGGGGGTGGGAGGCCAGCGGAGGGATAGTATTAGGGGAAATACCTAATGTAGATGACAGGTTGATGGGTGCAGCAAACCACCATGGCATGTGTATACCTATGTAACAAACCTGCACGTTCTGCACATGTATTCCAGAACTTGAAGTATATATTAAAAAATACCCTATTGCTAAAAAATGCTACCAATTATCTGAGACTTCGGCGAGTTGTAGTCTTTTTGCTGGTGAAGGCTCTTGCTTCAACATTGATGGCTGCTGACTAATTAGGGTGGTAGTTGCTAAAGGTTGGAGTGGCTGTGGCAATTTCTTAAAATAAGATAGCAATGAAATTTGTCACATAAATTGACTCTTCCTTGCATGGAAGAGTTCTCTGCAGCATGTGCTACTGTTTGATTGCATTTTACCCACTGTAGAACTTTCCAAATTTGAGGCAATCTTCTCAAACTCTGCTACTGCTCTATCAGCTATGTTTGTACATATTCTAAATTCCTTGTTATCGTTTCAACAGTGTTAACAACATCTTTACAAGGAATAGATAGTGAACTTTCTCAAGAAACAACTTTCTTTGTTCATCCGTAAGAAGCAGCTCTTAGTTTGTTCAAGTTTGATCATGAGATCGCAGCAATTCGTCACGTCTTCAGGCTCCACTTCCAATTTTAATTCTCTTGCATGTCCACTACATCTGCAATTACTTTCTCCAGTGAAGTCTTGAACCCCTCATGGTCACCCATGAAGGTTGAAATCAACTTCCTTAAAACTCCTATCAGTGTTGATATTTTTACCTCTTCCCAACAATTACCAGTGTTCTTAATGGCATCTGGAATGGTAAATTCTTTCCAAAACTTTTTTCAATTTACCTTGCCCATATCCATCAGATGAATCACTATTTATGGCAGCTATAGCCTTGTAAAATGTATTTCTTACATAAGGAGACATGATAGTTGAAATTACTCCATGATTCATGGCCGGCAGACTGCATGTTGTGTAAACAGACATGAAAACAACATTAATCCCTTTGTACATCTCCATTAGCAATCTTTGGTGATGAGGTGCATTGTCAATAAGCAGTAGTATTTTGAAAGGAATCTTTTTTTCTGAGCAGTAGGTCGCAGCAGTGGCCATAAAATACTTGGTAAACTATGCTATAAACAGATACACTGTCATATAGGCTTTGTTATTCTATCTATAGAGCACCAGCAGAGTACTTAGCATAATTCTTAAGAGCTCAAGGATTTTTGGAATGACAAATGGGCATTAACGTCAACTTTAAACTCACCAGATGCATTAGCCCCTAATGGGACAGTCAGCCTGTCCTTTGAAACTTTGGAACCAGGCATTGATTTCTCTCCAGCTATGAAAACTGGCATCTTCTTCCAATAGAAGGGTGTTTTGTCACCACTGAAAAATCTGTTGTTTGGCATAGCCACCTTTATTAATGATCTTAACTATCTCTTCTGCGTAACTTGCTGTAGCTTCTCCATCAGCACTTGCTGCTTCACCTGGAACTTATATGTTCCAGAGAAGTCTTTTGTTAATCTTTATGAATCAACCTCTCCTACCTTCAAATTTTTCTTCTGCAGCTTGCTCACTTATCTCCCAGCCCTCACAGAATAGAAGAAATTTAGGACTTGCTCTGGATTAGGCTTTTGCTTAAGGCAGTGTTGTGGCTGGTTTGATCTTCTATCCAAACCACTAAAACTTTCTCTATGTCAGCAGTAAGGCTGTATTGCTTTTTTATGATTCATGTGTTCACTGGAGTAGCATTTTTAATTTTCTTCAATAACTTTCCGTTGCATTCACAACTTGGTTAACTGGCACACAAAGCCTATCTCAGCTTTCAACATGCCTTCCTTGGTAAGCTTAATCATTTCTACCTTTTGATTTAAAATTAGAGATGTGCAACTCTTCCTTTCACTTGAACACTTAAAAATGAGGTGATTTTAGGGTTATTAATTGGCAAAATTTCAATATTGTTGTGTCTCAGGAAATAGAGAGGCCTGAGGAGAGAGAGAGAGATCAGGAAAGAGCTGATCAGTAGAGCAATTAGAACACAAACATTTAGAATTAAATTCACCATCTTATATGGGTGAGGTTCATCGTGCCCCCAAAACAATTCTGATAATTACATGAAAGATCACTGATCCATTTTCTTTATCCAGGCATCCATTGACAGACACTTAGGTTTTTTCTATACCTTCACTATTGAGAGTCTCATTATCTTTATTCATATAATTAAGAAAATAACTGTAGTGATTTTAAAGAGTTGTCTTTGATCAAGTTAGAGTAAGTATGGATTGAGTACATAATGCCCTAATATAGTGCCTGATGTATAGTCAACAATGAATAAATGTACTCTACCATCATTAGGAAAGTGATGGTAACCAACTCTTTATCTGGGACAGTCTATGTATTCCTTAAGAATCTCTTACACTAGTCACATGTGTGGCATGGGTGCTGGGGCGTCTGCTGTTTCTTTTAGGATCTTTCTATTGAGTTTAAAGCTTTTCTGATGCATTTGCTCAAAAGTTTGTACTTTTTGCATCCTTAATTTTGCACATTTAAGTTTGTACATCCTTAATTTCTAGGGCTTTATTCCCTGATATATAGTCTACAAAACCTTGATTTCTTCCATCTTGCTCTGCAAAGTGCTGGCCATGCATCATGCTGCAGCTTTCTCTATGAAAATACTCTTGCCTTCATGAGCCTTGGTAGTTGTGGGGTAGGAGAGTAGAAAGGAAGAAGGGTGCCATTGTGGGAAATGTTGAAAAGAACATCTAAATTCCTCTGGCAATAAAAACCACTTCCTGCACAGAGTCCAAATTAGAAACAGATCTTTCAATGCACAAAAATAAAGGTGCTGAGATAGATAACT